ATTTGAGTGTTGCAGTGGAGGCTCGGGCCTAAATCTACGTTGGATCACAGTACATGGGTTAAACAATGGCTAAGTAAAACACTATACTCCCAAAAGGGGTTTCAAAAGCCAGACCTAGTGGCTCCAGGGAATAAAGAACAGGTGTGATAAAATGGCGACAGAAGTTGAGAAGCACAGGGACTTATGAGGACGAAAAATGTGAATTACATTTTTTGGGGCCGCCCTGGATGAGGCTAGGGGACATATTTTGCCAAAAGTTCGAGGCCAGCTTGAATAAATCCTCGATTATGACGTATGCGGTGACCGGGACTGAGGAACCAGTTAGGCAATTAGATAAGAAACGATGGAAAAACTGACATGCTTGCAGAAGCCAGTTCCTGAATGTATAATCAATTTAGATCAGGAAGCCCTGAAGAGGGTATATGAAATAGGTGAAGATAATTGTCTCATTGAAGCCAAGGGCCACATACTAAGAACACATTGGAACAAAGATATAACGAAGGTGAGAAAATTGGCTAAATTAGGTGGGATTAATCGACGATGAGGTAGCAGAAAGGGGAAATAGCAGAATCATCAGACATAATATCGATCCAAAATATTACCTGCACTTGTACCGTTAACGATGCTAAAGGGGGTCACCTCACTGAAAATGCTGGCGAAACATCTACAGATGTATCAAATCAATAGTTCGATGCAGGAAATTAACGTGAATACTATCACAAAGGAAACAAGACTAGGTACTCCGCATAAGGTCATGCCAACACTAAAACAAATATAAATAGCCTAAAAATCTTACGAACCTGCTTGCATTTTAAGTAAATGTTGAGCAAGCTCATCGCGCTGTTGTATCAAACGAAGTACATCTGAACGCTCGGCAGCATTTCTTGCCTGAAGTTCAGCAAGCCTACGGCGGCGCTTGTCAATGAAAGGTTCGTCAGGAACTAATTCATGGTCAGAACTCAATACCTCAGGAGCCTCAGAAGTGACTTCTTCTTCTCGAGTATTTCTATCAGCCTGGGCGGGAGCTTCGGCATGAGACGGCCATGCAAATAAAAATGATGAAGGTTTCTTGTCATCTAAAAAATAATCAGTACATAAGCAAAATTAAAACCAGGGTGACTGAGAGTAATATACTTTTTAAATATAACAAAAATACTTGTTTGAGCATGAGAATCAGCATTCTTCTTTGTTTCGATCCCGGGACTTTCCATACCTGAATCCACTATATCACCTCG